AGAGGGAGAGAGAGGGAGGGGTGGGGTGGGTGTTAGAAACCAGGATGTGTGTATTTTCTAAGAAAAGCTCTACCTGGGAGAATGGCACCTTTAATAGGGTGCCTCTTGGATGGTGGATGTGCATGGCTAATGAATGTATTGGAACAAACTGCATTCACATGCAACCAGCCGAATTGTGACACTCCATTCCTATGCTGGAGTGGGGGGGAGGAACGGGGAGGCGGAGGAGGAAAAATCCCGTAAGCTTCCAGAGAAACCGAAACAGGGGAAAACAGACATCAGCACATGCATTGCATCATATTTGGGAGAAAGGGGCCAGAAGGAGATGGCTCACCTCTTCTTTTGCAAAACTCCAGAGGAGGAAAATAAAAAATTACTAGAGACTATTCCTTCCCTGACTCTCCCCACCACCTTCTTTACTCTCTCGAGATTACATAACCCATAGAGGCGCTTCCTCAGAGCTGGGCCTCTTGAAGATCCGACCTGCCCAGCTTGCCTTTTCCTCTCTCCTTGACGGAGTGCCCTCTCCCTTTTCCTTCTCCTCCTGCCACCCCCGCCGCTAATTGTCCTCTGGCGACAGAAGGGGAAAAAAGGAGGAGGAGGAAGAGGAAGCAGGGAGGAAGTAAGATCTTCCCCCAGCTTCACACTCTGGAGCTTCCTGTCCTGAGCTTCCCACTCACCGGTTAAAATAAAGATATAGTGTATATAAATAAATAATTTAGGATCAAAACCGTTAAATCCCTTCTTGTGCTATGATGGGAAACCGTAGATACACTGGACCGCTCCACCCCTTCCTTTGCTCACCCAGCCCTGAACAAATGGCTCCTTTTCCTCTCTCTCTCTCTCTCTCTCTCTCTCTCTCTCTCTCTCTCTCTCTCACACACACACACACACACACACACACACACACACACACACACACACACGTATGTTTTCTTCACCTCCGCCCTGCCTTCCTCTAAATGTGCAAGAAAGCCCGATGGGTTGGCAAGCCAGACTGGCATGACTGCCTGCCTCTGTGTGTGTGCGTGTACACACACACAGTATCTAGATGTGCATATGGGTTGGCAAGCCAGACTGGCATGACTGCCTGCCTCTGTGTGTGTGCGTGTACACACACACATATCTAGATGTGCGATATCTAGATATCTGTGCACCTATCTGTGCAATACAGATCTCGTATGTTATAGGCTGGAGATGCAGATCCTATCAAGATCTTTTATACCTGGCGCTGCACTGTTGGATGTAAGGCAAAGAAAATGGGTTGGCAAGCCAGACTGGCATGACTGCCTGCCTCTGTGTGTGTGCGTGTACACACACACATATCTAGATGTGCGATATCTAGATATCTGTGCACCTATCTGTGCAATACAGATCTCGTATGTTATAGGCTGGAGATGCAGATCCTATCAAGATCTTTTATACCTGGCGCTGCACTGTTGGATGTAAGGCAAAGAAAAGACGGATCGGCTCTCCTTCGGATGAAAGTGACAGCTTGCAGGAACTGTCACTTGTCCATCATTGGAGTTTCCGCTTTTCAGCAAGGACACCATAATAGAGCATCTGCAGTGAATGGGGGGGGGGCGGGGGGGGGGGGAAAGAGAGAGGCAGGAGAAATGCAAGCTTGCTTTCTCCTCTCACATCCCCAGGAGCTGGCTCTTCTCCTTTGGCCGCTGCTCCATTTTTTAAAAAATTGTCATGTAATGTTTTCGCATCTCTGCGCGCGAGGAGGTGGGTTGCAATCCCCAGAAGCCCGTGTGCCCATCCATAAGCCTTTCCTTTCCCCTCCCCATGAAAGACCTTTTTGAAAAACCTGCTTTCTTTTTTATTTTTTCGGCGATTGCCTTCAGATTCACTGCGCTGGGGAGGGGGCGAGAGGGGAAGAGAGGATTCTGCACAGAAGCTAATCGCATGAAGCCCGGCAGCTTTGCCTGGGTGGCTTTCTCCAGCATCCTGATCTCTGCTGAGCAATCTGAATAACAAGATCGAGCAGGGCGAAGGTTTGCAAATAATGCAATAAACACACAGAGAAAAAAGAGAGATACACACAGGACACGCACGCACATACACACTGACGCACGCACACACGATCGCTTGCTCACCTCCCGACGAAATTCTCCAAGACGGAGCTTTTCCCGGCGCTTTGGCCCCCCACCACGGCGATCTGGGGCAGATCCAGGTTGGCATTTTGGCCGATGGCCGAGAAAGCATCTTGGAGCCGGTTGACCAAGGGGATCAGATCTTCCATCCCTCGGTTCCCCATGGCTGCAGCCTGGAGCGATGGAGGAGGCTCTCACCTCCGTCCAGTTAGGGGGAAATAATAATACGGGAGAAGGCAAAAAAAAAATGTCCCTTGGATCGATGAGGGCGCTTCCCCCCCACTTTTTAAAAGGACCCCCAAATCCACGTCAATGAAGGATGCGGATGACACCGGGAGGGGGGACTGCCCTCTGTCCCCCAGCCCCTAGAATCGGGGTGCCCGGGGGGGTCCCTTCTCCTTTCCTCCCCACGCCACCCCCCCAGCTCCCGGTCCCTAAAGCCGGCTTCCCCTTGCCGCCTGCTCCCGGCGCTGGTCTGCAGCAGCGCCGCGCCACCTCCTCCTCCTCCGCTGGCTACCTGGTGCCGGAGCGGATTGAGAGCGGCGCGGCTCCCCACACCGGCCACCAGGGGGAGGTGCGGAGCAGCCGATGGGCTCGGAGAGCTTCATGGGAGTTGTAGTTCTCTTGAACTGAAAGAAGCCGGACTGGAGGGGGGGGAGTTGGTTGCACCGGAGTCAGGTCCGCATTTAGGTGCAAGCTTAGGAAGCTGCAGCTTACACGGTCGACATCATTGCGTTTATATTAATATGTATTAATGTATATTCTTATATATATGTATAAGCCTATAATACATGTTTATATACAGTATACTCTTCGCCCCCCAAAAATAAGACAGGGTCTTATACTCATTTTTGCTCCAAAAATGCATTAGAGCTTATTTTCAGGGGATGTTTTATTTTAACTTTTTTTTTCATGTACAACCATTTACATTTATTCAAATACCGTCGTGTCATCTTCTGGTTGCTGCACAAGAGTGGAGGGCAGGGTTTCACTTAACTGGGGTTTATTTTTGGGGGAGGGCTTCTATGACGAGCATCCTGAAAAATCCTACTAGGGCTTATTCTTATTTTCTTGAAAACGGGGTGTATATATATGCATATCTGCATATATTTGTGTGCACACACACACAAACACACAGTTTTCATCTTGATCCAAAACCAAATATTCCGACTCCACTAAACCAGTGGTTCTTAACCTTTTTGAAAGAAACGCCCCCTTGAGCTATTGAGGAAGTTATCATCGCCCCCTCTTATTTCTTATTATATCTTATTTGTTTGTTTGTTTGTTTATTTGTTTGTTTATTTAAGACACTTAAATCCAATGACCCCTGAAAACAAAATTCAATTCCAAGAAAATGAAATGCCCCCAAAAAGTAACATTTAATGATTTAGTCACACACACACACACACACACACACACACACACACACACAGAGTTTTCATCTTGATCCAAAACCAAATATTCCGACTCCACTAAACCACAGTGTTAAAAATCACCACCTCTCTGGTGAGCAGAGCGTACAATACTGCAATCTGAATTTTTTTTTAAATAAACACACAAAAAACAGGATCCAATTGGTGCTATTCTAATGCTGTTTCCAGCAAAACTAGTATGCTTAAAATTTAATTATGAACAGAAAGGATGAGTCAGGCAAGCTGCCACCACTCTAAATTTATTTATTTGTTTAAAAACATGTCCATCCCTGCCTTTCTCTATGATTACATCACTCATATATGGTATTTGAAGCAAAAAAAGAAGTAAGTATATTGAGACTAAAAATAACAAGCAAATACCACAGTGAAAGATGGTAAACAAAAGCAGTATTAAGACCCTTTCAAGTCAGTATGGTATAAAAATCTAGTAAAGAACCCCAATCAGGCAGCCAGTCACTCAGGAAAAGCTTGAAGAAAAAGGTCATGGCCTGCTGGTGGAAGGAGAGCCTAAGAGGGAGCCAGTCTGGCCTCCAGTGGGAGGGAGTTCCACAGTCTCTGGGAGCAGCCACAGAGAAGGCCCTCTCTTGTGTCTCCATGAAAAGCACCTGTGAAGGTGGCGGGACGGCGAGGAAGGCCTCTTCTCATGATCTTAATACCTGGGCAGGCTCATAAAGGAATATGTGTTCCTTGAGATAGCGTAGACTCAAGCTATTTAGGGTAAAAAGGACCCATAGTTTGACTAGGTATCAAACATTATGGTCACAGCTTCACAGTAAGTCCCAATAAGTATTAACCAGGCCCAATCCTGCTTTTAACCAGACTGAGTATATGCTCAGGGCAGGGCAGTAGTGTTCTTATTGTAACAGTAGCCACACGCAACAAAGACTGTGCAAAAATACAGCTGGCTTCTTGATCAACAACCCGAAAGGCGGGTCTTTTGTAACTCCAATGGGTCTTAATAATCATTTCACAATAACCTCCTCTCAAATATCTGGCATAACAACAGAAGTAGGTTATGGCAATCCATTGCCACTGGGATTTGCTATCTCCCCCACCCTCACCAGGCGCTGCTTTGCTACACCCCTCTGGACTGTGACTTAATGGCTGTGTTAAGGATTCTGGGATTTGTAGTCCCCCCAAAAAAGGGAGGAACTTCCCAGGTTCCCTATGTACTCTATCCATCCTCCCCCATGATCCCAACGTTACCAAAAAAAAACCACAATCTGTTGCTAGGCTGGATACCACCCTCTGTTGACATAGCAACCGTTGGGTCTTATTTTGTGCTGCCTCCAAGCTTTCCTCCTTTCCCACCACCTTTATTTTTGTTTTGTTGTCCATCCTCTGGGGGTGAACTTGACGTGAGCCCAATCTCAGGTGTGAATCTGCGTGGATGCTGAGCGCCTCCGGCTCTTTGTTGAGGCCAGCAGGAGGGTGGCAGGTGCCCGCCAGCAACAGCTTTCTGAACAAAACATTTTGGTTTTTGATGCTGCAAGACTCAGAAGATTGTGTTTAGGCAGCTTAAAGGGCTGAATCTCAAGGTGCAAAAAAATTTTGGAGTGGTGGCTTACCCGGAGTATTTTTTGAGATTCTCCAGCCCCTCCTTGGTGGAGGGACATTAAAAAAAAAAGCTCTCTTACCCTCTTGTCCAAGGTGAAGCCAAGGGATTTAGGGAAGAAGGAATGGCAGATAAAACAAAGGGAAATTTGATAACACAATTGTTTCTATGTTATCCGTTGCGCTCCAGCAAATTTTTCTCCTAGGGAAAAATTTTGATCTGCAGCCGAAAATTTCTACGCGCCGCATTAAACTACGAACTCCAGGATTCAGGACGGAGCCATAAGAGATGAAGTGTTGCTATGTTCTGGACATACCCTCTTGGAAAACGAAACAGCACATGGCCTTCCGGATATTTCTTGGGCTACAGCATCCCATCATTCCTGACCACCGGCCAAGGTAATGAGGGCACATGGGAGTTGTAGTCTGGCAACCCCGAGTAACCCTCTGACTCAGCCTAAAAGACAAGCTTCTGTAAACGACTCAGAAATAACGTGCCTTGAATCCCATCGGCTCAAGTCGACGGGCCTTGTATAAAAGGATGGGATTGCCTCGCCGTTGACTCGGATCGCTGCCCCGTTTCGCCGCTTGCCCCGGGTCTTGTGGGTGACTTGGGTGATGGTCTGCCCATTGAAATGAACAAATACCCATTCCTGGAAGGAAGCCAAGGACTGCAGACAGCCGGCAAACAGCCTACGCTTCTCCTGTTGCTCTGTGAATCTCCCACAGGCCGTCTCATATGGTCGGTGGGCGGATGACTTAGCTGCACGTCCCACCTTGGCTTACGGAGTTGCACCTTTATTTATTTATAATATTTCATGTAAAACGGTCCGTTTTTTTCTCTCTCTCTCTTTGCATTCTTGCCTCTGTTGTGTACAGAATCTGTTAATGTTTAATATATGTATACATACATTTATTTGTTTTTTTCATAGCTAGGAGAAAGACAGGAAAGGATCAAAGGTTTTTGTTCTTGATTAAGAAGTAGAAGTTACAATTTTCTAACCCCTTGAGGGAATCTGTTTCTCTGGGTTCCCCCCAGATTATTGTCCAGCGTGTTCTTGGTGGTCACCCCTTTTTACCCTTGAAATTAAAAGGAATGTACGTATATGCCTACATTTGAGCTGCTGACTTTTGTGGGGAAGGAGATAAATGTTGGGACTGCCAATCCCAGAATCCTCTAGCCGGGGGGGGGGGGGTACGGGGGTTGTAACCCATAATAGAAATACTACGCCCAAGCTCTGCTTGATGGTTCGTAAGGATGGTCATAGAGTTATGCAGAAGAGGAACCAGTATACTGTAGTGGTTGGACTGGGATTCTGGTGCTTGGGGGAGAGAGGAGATTTATGAATGCTTCCTTGAACACATTGAGAGGATAGAGAACATTTAAAGGCAATAAACAAACAAATAAGCACATAAGCATCTTAGGAAGCTGGTTTATACCAAGCCAGAGTGTGGAGCTAGAGGTCGGGAGATCGAATCCTCACTGTGCCTCCTTGACAGGGGCTGACGATCCACAGGGTCTCTTCCAGTTCTGAGATGATGATGATTGTGTCTAGTGTGTGCGGATGTCATACAAAAGCAAGAGCTTCTTCTGGTTCCCTCCTGCTGCTTTAGCCGTTTATTCTATTCCAAAAATCTCAGCTCTGGACAGACAGCCGGTCTCCCCACCTCCACTCAAAGGGTCCTCAGATGCATGGACCTGAAAGGCCCTAATTTTTACCCGGGGGGGGGGAGAAAGGGAAGAATCATCTGTAAAGGCAGAGCTGCTTTTTAAAAATTACCTTTTAAAAAGCAGACACGCGGCCTGTCCTGCTCTGGTCCATGGGGTCACGAAGAGTCGGACACGACTAAAAGACTAAACAACAACAACATATATGTTTCATTTTGATTTTCATAATTATTATGCTCACTGTTTTAAATTTCTGTTCGTGATGTTATATTTGTTTAATGTTGCAAATGTTTGAAGTGGTCCTGGCGGTATAAAAGTGGGTGGTATAAAAGTCAAGTAAGGAATTAAGTAAATTAATAAATTGCTGATTTAGAGACAAAAGTAAATAAAGCTGTTGGTTTGAAGAAAGAAATGGATACACACCAGGCAGTTGTTTGGGTTTTTTTTTGGGTGGGGGGAGAAATGAAATAGCTGGCATGAAGAAATAATAAACCAAGTAGCTGATTGGGAATTTACAAAAAAAAGGAAATAATGAACTAAGTTGCTGATTGGGAATTTACAAAAATAAGGAAAAAATAAACTAAGTTGCTGATTGGGAATTTACAAAAATAAGGAAAAAATAAACTAAGTTGCTGATTAGGAATTTACAAAAATAAGGAAATAATAAACTAAGTTGCTGAATGGGAATTTGATCATTTGTTAACTACTGTGATATAAAATGAAGAAAATCCATGTGTAATGCTTCAAATCTCTAATCTGGTTTAAAAGGTCAGTTGCAGCCTAAAAGGACTTGACATTTTCCCTTTAAAAACCTGACTTTTTGACTCTGAGCTAACAGCATTTTGAGCACGAATGACCTGAAGGATAAATGCAAAAAGCTGATTTCAATTGAACTATTTAGAGAACAGGGGATCTTCTAATTTATAAGATAGCATTCACAGAGGTTTTTTTCCATTACAAACTCAATTGACTGAAAAAATGATTTCCTTGGCTATTCTACCATCTTTCTGTTCTTTTGTAAATTTTACACAGGAGGGGGTCAGTCAGTGATATGTAACGCCAAGGCCTTAAAGCAGAAGGCTGGAAACCCCTGGGTGGAGGTAGGGAGAAAAGAAAGCACAAAATCCTCACATTTGCATGAACACAGTGGTTCTCCAACTTCCATTCCATGGATTCTACTAAAACACAATCAAAGATCCTGACTTCTGGTAGGATAAGGAACAAAAAGTCCACTTTGTTATTATATTTATTCTTTATGGTAAATGCTGCTACGAGGACAAAAAATTTTATACCAGTTGCCATAGGAAAAGAGAGAGGTCCCAAAACAGAAGGAGAATGGCAGCAGAAACCTTCTGGAAACTTTTGTCAACAAGGCCTAGAAAGGGCTCATGTCGACCTCACTGACCTTTGTTTATTCCTTAACTCTCCGACAGAACAGCTGCTTTGCATCCAGGCATAGCAAGGAGAAGATGGCATATTATTTCTGGAATGGCTGCATTCTATAATTTGCTTGTAGATGGCTTTGGGGTGTGTGTCCAAGGACAGCAAATTCTAACAAATTGTTAATAAATTGGTGCCCCATCTTGATTACTTCTCTGCCCCACTGGGGCTGTCCACACTGGGAAATGTGGTGCAGTCCAGTCCACATTTAAAAGTTTCTTATCTTCTGTGCAATATGTTGTATCTCTCACTTATCCTCTACACATCCTCTACACATTCGTGGAGGATAAGAGTAATGTTGGCTACTAATGATGCTTCTATGTTATCTCCAGTACTGAAGGCAGAATGATATCCAATGTGAATAAAGTGACGGACTAGGACTCAAGAGACCTGGGTTCAAATCCCCACTTGGCTGTGGAAACTCACGAATGATAAAATCATTCCTTGAATATCTCACATCACGCTGTGATATGCTGGAAGCAAATTAATGGGATGTAATAATAAAAATGTGAACCATGAACTGGAGGGAAAAGATAGACAAACACACACACACAGAGAAGCAAGTCGTACGGCTTCTGGGTTGTTGTTTTCTGCTGTTTATCTTTTTTTTCTCCCTACCCGTTGCTTTGCACAGAGAAGAGTGTAGAAATCGATACGGATCTATCTGTAAAACACACAGGTGGGCATCAGTGCCCATGAGCATAGAATGGAAAGGGAAGGTGTGTGGCTAGAATGTGAGAGACCTGGGTTCAAATCCCCACTTGGCTGTGGAAACTCACGAATGATAAAATCATTCCTTGAATATCTCACATCACGCTGTGATATGCTGGAAGAAAATTAATGGGATGTAATAATAAAAATGTGAACATGGACTGGAGGGAAAAGATAGACACACACACAAGCAAGAATACGAGTTGTATGGCTTCTGATAGTCTCGTAGGTTTTATATGGCATAAACTTTCGCAGATGCTGAAAGCCAGTAGACCCGGCAGCGAACAGGGCTTAAGAGTGAGGCTGCAGGGTGAATCCCTGCAGATTTCAATGCCTGGGCTTTCTCCGTGCTTTGAAAAACATAATCCAACAATATTGGCCTGTTGCAGAAATCTTACAGAATCTACGTTGCTGAAAAGGCTTCATGCACACGAGTTTCTGCATCAAGACATGTTGTCAATACAAAACACAGCCTCTCATTCATCCCGGTGGGCCTTGGGCAGGAAACCATCTTGGAGGATCAGGCCCTTGGGTCTAAAGCGTGTTGGTTCTCTTCCATCAGAGAAAAGAAAAGAAGGAAGGAAAATTAAATGTTCAGCATGCAAGGTGGTCCCTTTGCAAGAGATTTGTCTTGCAAATACACTGTAAGGCATCTTTGAGAACGGTTGACCATGGGGCCTCTCTCCTTAGCCCACCCTCGAGAGAGGGTGGGGGAGGCAGGTCATGATGCTGCTTGCTGCCCCGTTTGAGGATGATGAGATGAACAACGGCAGCTGCGAAGTGGTCTGGGGGGAATGGGCTTGTTGTGGAATTTGGGGGTGCCATCCTGCCTTTCCCAACCAGTTTTGCTGAGAACGGAGAGGTCTGGACTGGACTCTGTGAGTGATCCCCCTTGAAAGCAAGCTGGGCCTTTCCTGATCCTCTTATCCGTCTGACTTCTCGTTTCCCCCTTAGGGGCATGACGCCACCTCAGCAACAGCAGATCCTTAATTTGAGGCCTGCCGGTCAAGCGTCGCTCATGAGCGCCAACCCGATGCTTCAGCAGGCCCTGCTTGCCCAGCAGTTGCAAGGTAGATGCTGTATTTCCTTTTCAGGGGGGAGAAAGGTGCTTATTTTCTAATGAGACTCCTGAGTTTTATGCACATAAACAAAACACTGGCCTGGTGTAAGCAGGTGTTTGTTGCAAAAGACGCTCCAGTTCCCAAGCCGGTGGAGCGTGTCCTGTAGGTAATGCCCTAAAGCTCCCGGTGTGCCCCACAGAGACCCCCTAAGACATTTATTTTAAGGATACTGTTATATACAATAATATAATGTTATAGTGGGGTTAAAATGGTTTATAGGTAAGAGAGATTTGGTTTTTTCCCCCCACCTCCACATTTGGTACATTGGTTCCCATATTGTTGTTTAGTTGTTTAGTCGCGTCCCACTCTTCGCGACCCCATGGACCAGAGCACGCCAGGCCCTCCTGTCTTCCACTGCCTCCCGGAGTTGGGTCAAAGTCATGTTGGTCCCTTCGGTGACCCTGTCCAACCATCTCATCCTCTGTCGTCCCCTTCTCCTCTTGCCTTCACACTTTCCCAACATCAGGGTATTTTCCAGGGAGTCTTCTCATGAGATGGCCTACATTTATTCAAATACAGTCATGTCATCTTCTTCTGGTTGCTGCACAAGGGTGGAGGGAGGGGTTTCACTTCACTGGGGCTTATTTTTGGGGTGGGGCTTATATTACGAGCACCCTGAAAAATCCTACTAGATCTTATTTCCAGGTTAGGTCTTATTTTTTGGGGAAAAGGGTATATATTTTGCAAATGGCATTTCTTTTACTTTCTTAATGGGGTGGGCTGTTCTGGTGTTACGCTGTTGATAATCAGGTTACCTGTAACAAAGAACGGCTTGAGAACTGACCGTTCCCCGAAGTGCCCCTGCTCACCCACGAGGTTCGGGTTACATTTCTCGACACCTGATGCCCCAATACTCTGGCATTCGAGAAACCTCTGGATAAATAATTCAGCAGGTTGTATAATCTGTAGATTCAGCAGTGGGTGCATTGTGTTGACTTTCTCCCCTTCTGTATCTCATATGGAGATGTATACGGCATCTGCACTGGAAAAAGACAGCGTTTTGATCCCGCTTTTATTTTTTATTATTTATTTATTAGATTTTTATCCCGCCCTTCTAGACTATGTCTACTCTGTGGGCGGCTCACAATAAAATTATTCATAAAACAATTAAAACCATGAATTAAATCGACAATGTTAGTATCGATCAAGATGGAAAATTAAAATTAAAAAAAGGTTTTAACTATCACAGCTCCATCCTATAGGATCCTGGGGTCTGTATTTTACCAAGGGGCGTGCATTTGTCTGCTAGCAGTATGTGACAGCGCTCTAGCAAAGAATTGCATGTACCTTTTCCCAAACTGAGGGACCCATCCATAGAAACGGGCCTGATTCTTTCGCCCATTTCACACGGTCTCCCTTTTGTTCTTCCCCTCTTTCGCCGTTCGTAGGTAACTTGAGAGGTTTTAACATGGCAGCAGCTCCTGTACTACAGCAGTTCTTCCCTCAGGCCACGAGGCATTCCCTGTTGGGACCCCCTCCGGTTGGGGTATCCCTAAAGCCCGCCCGTTTGGCGTTCCCGACTCTCCTGTTCCCGCGGCAAAACCGGACTTTTGGCAAGGTGAGCGTGTGAACTGCAGCTCCTTGTTTCGTTTCCTCCCGCTCGCCGCCTCCATAATCCTTCTCATTCGGTCATCGTGACCCTGGTTGATTTGAGCTTGTTTTGAAATTTTCCCAGTTATGTTTTTTGGCTGCATTTCTGCTATTCCTGTCGTGCTATTATAGGGTCTTGGAATCGGCGCTTCTTCCTTGGCTCACTTCAGGCCTGGTGCACTTCCATTCATCCCCGCAAGACAGACGGATCTGTTGTCTTCGTAGGGAGAGTCCAACTTGGAGAGGATAAACCTCGCCAACTACGTTTTCTTTCTCTTTCAAACGCTGTGTCCTCTTTCTTGACCGCAGGACTTCCCAAAGATTCCCGAGAGGAAGCGTGAGGCCGATTCTGCATCCTCTTCCTCTCAGGGCCAAGGAACGTGTGAAGCTGGGCCGGTCATGGAGGCATCTGACTTTCAAGGAGACTCTGAGCTGTCCAGTTCTTTACCTTCAGGTAGGAGAAAGCCTGAGCTTGCTGCTTCCTCAAAGCCAAGCAGTGCAGGTGAGACGGAGGGAAGGGTTCTAGAAGAAAGATTCTATCTTTAAGAGATGCTTTTAAATGGATGGACCTAGAGCTTGCCTTCCTCCACATGGTGGCCCCCAGGTATTTTGGACTGGACTACCAGTTGGCATTGGCTATTGGTCAGGGGTGATGGGAGTGGTATTAAAAATAATACAACTTGGAGGAGACTTGAGTTCAAGGATGTGGTCATTCTGCAACAATAATATTATTGGGTCCACAGAAACACCAGCAGAATCCTCCGGAGATGGCCAGCCAGCTGCCAAACGGCTAAGAAGGTAATAATAGAATAGCACAATAATTGAGCTGGAAGGGGGCCCATGAGGCCATCAAGTCTAAGCTCAACGCAGGAATCCAAATCAAAGTAACCATAATAGTTCGAAATCACATCAAAATTGTAACAAGATCATTGTCTTGTGGGATCAGAGTGAAAAAGCCTTCCAGATCTCACATCCTTCTGTTCTGGCGCTTCCTTCTCTGTGAATGAAACAGACCTTCCGAGCTGTATGATTCCCGACATCTGGTTTTTGAGCCATGGTGGCCATGTTTTTTTTCCCGTGGGTGTGTCCCTTTTTAAACTCTGCTTAAGTTGCTGCTTGCTGCTGCACCTTGTGGCAGGGAGTTCCACAGGTTCACTGTACATTACAAACAGAAACCATTCTCTTTTCCGTCCTGAAACGATGTAAAATCAGTTTCGTTACATGACTTTTGAAGTTGTTTTAAGGTGTTTTCAAAAGGATTCAAAATGTTGTTTTCGAGAATTTAAATTGGTTTCAGTTATTTCAGCATGCTCTCATTGATTAGATTCTACCCAAAGATTTCTCTGTCCAGTGTGGGTTGGAAATGCTGAATCTTATAGTCTTCATCTCCCAGAAGTGTGAGCAGAATATACTTGCAGCAAAAGAAACAAGAAAAATCCAGTGAAAGCTATAAATAAAATCTAGCATTGTTCATAGTCACACTGCAGAATAATACATAGTACTGTACTCCTAAAATGAGCTACACCAAGTAATGATGACCTGCTTAGTGGAGCAATATTATTTAAAAGTGTATTAAAATTTAATATAAATGTTCATTAAAAAAAAATCCCAAAGCAGGTTCACTAGAATAATGAGAACATCCAAAAACTGCACCTCTGGAATAAAACACAAGGATAAAACTGGAAGAATCAATTGCAATAAGCAGTGTATTCGCGGAGGCTTTCACAGCCGGGATCTAATGGCTGTTGTGGGTTTTTCGGGCTCTTTGGCTG